GCATTACAAGGGTTGGCCAAGTTCAAATCTATTTTCAGGTGACAAAATCATTGGGTCCTTTTGGGTCATGCCCTCTCTGGCCTTACTTCTTTGGCTGTTGTTCTTGTGGGAAGCCCCCCACCCACCCGAGAATGAAATATTTTGGAGAGTATTAAAAGAAGTAGAATATTATATTTCCCCAAAGGAGAAATGTAGAAACATGTTACTGTAGAATGTTAGCACCTACCCCTCTCCTAGAATATTTTGAGAAATATATTTTTTTAAAGGCAGAATGTTATATTTCCCTGGGTGAGAAGTATTTTTAGAAGGAGGGAGAAATTAGCCCCCACCTTCCTTAATAGCTCATAGCAGATGTTAGCACTTAAGAGATAAAGAGGTAGATAGCTCTATTCATAAGTAAATACCCTCACCCAAGATCCAACAAAGGTAGGATTAGCCCTCAGCCACAATAGGATTTGCCCAATGCCCGATGCAATGCAGAGCCTTGTTTCAGAACACAAGGCTCTGCATTGCATCATCTCAGCAGCAACCTTCAACCAAACCTGGGAGCTCAGGCAACCTACAGAGCCAGCTATGACCCCTACATAACCCATAAAACAGCCAATAGAATACATGTTCTTGCAAAGGAACAGGAAGTTCAAGTGCAAAGCCCAAGAAAAGGTTTAAAAACCCTCACTCTCAACTCCATTTGGAGGGAGGGAGGGAAGGAGAGAGAGATGGAGGGAGGGGGTATATAATCTGGAGTCACCATCTTCATGGGGATGGGCAGGTTATGTTTTATATTATAAACAAAGAGCACTTTGGTATAAAAATTGGATGCACTTGAAGCAGAAGATTTGATTGGAAAGACTCTGGAAATGACATTTAGTCCTCTCCTATGTAGTTTCTTTTGAAAAGGGAGTTAGAAACACATCTGTTCGCCCTGGCATTTGGAGATAATATTGCCTTCAGCCGAAGTTGCTCTTTTGGTGGATGGCAGTTGTGTTACTTTTGCTGGAGGCTAGATGGTGTAGAGCAGAGGTCAGCAACTTGGAGCCCGGGGGTGTTAAAATACTTGTGGGAGCCTTTGGGAAAGGCACATCTCAAAGCTTGATTGATGTGCCTGGAATCGCAGGAGATCTCAGGCCAGGTTGCTGAAATCCATTGAGATCCGGATTGTGTTCCATAAGATCCCGTCTCATTATGTTTAGGGAGATGAACGTATCTTGGTATTTGTGAAAAATGGCATGGTAGAATTCAAAACTGGAAAATAGCATCAAGCCCTTACATACGAATACACTTTTATTTCAATGGATAACTATTTTTGGAGAGGAATTTCTCTCTGTTTGAATGAAAGTCTGCCTGCCTTTCTTGGAGCTGTACTTGAAGTTGTAGTGGTACTCGTATTTTCCTTTTATTGTAAACGAGAACTACAAATAGAATAGAATAGAATTCTCTTTTGGCCAAGTGTGCTTGGGCACAGAAGGAATTTGTCTTTGGTGTATATGCTCTCGGTGTACGTAAGGAGAATAAAATTCATTCATCAAGAATAAAAAGACACAACACTTAGTGATAGTCAAGCTTCCTAATAAGCTATCCAATCATATTAGGAAACAAATAAAAACAATACAAATTGAAAGATACAAGCAACATGGTTATAGTCGTAAGTTGGAAGAGATAGATACTAGGAAGGAAGAGAAGAATAATAGTAATACAGCCTTAATAAATTATTTGACAATGTTGTGGAAATTAGTCGTTAAGCAGAGTGATGGCATTCGGGGGAAAACTGTCCTTGTGTCCTGGTGTGCAGTGCCCTAAAGCGTTGTTTTGAGGGTTGAAGTTACTACAAATGATCATGTGACCATGGGGATGCTGCAGCAGTCATAAGTGTGAGGATCGGTCATAAGTCACTGTTTAGTGCTGTTGTAGTTTTGAACAGTCACTAAATAAACGGTTGTGAGTTGTGAGCTACCTGTACTCTGAAATGCCCTGTCTCGGAAGAGAGGTGGGGGGGAAACAAACCTGATTTGAGACAGTCCTCAACTTATGACAGTTCGTTTAGTGACCGTTCAAAGTTAGAACGACACTGAAAAAAGTGACAATTTTTCACACTTACGACCATTACAGCATCTCCATGACCTTGTGATCAAAATTCAGAGGCTTCGCAAATGACTCACATTTATGACCTTGGGGCACAGCATAAGTATGAGCCAGTTCATCCGAATTTTGATCCCATGACCACGGGGATGCTTCAAAGGTCGTAACTGTGACAAATGGTCATAAGCCACTTTTTTTTTCAGTGTCGTTGTAACTTTGTACGGTCACTAAATGAACTGTTGTAAGGCGAGGATTACCTGTACAATATAACAAAGCTTCAATATACTTTGGTGTGATTTTTCACACAAATAACATCCCATTCACAGTTTTACACCTCGAAGCCCATTATACAGACTCTTTATACATATTAACAGAGTTGGACCTGTAGGTCATCTAGTCCAACCCCTCCCCCACCCAAGCAGAGACCCTATCCAATTTCTGACAAATGGCAGTCCAATCTCTTCTTGAAAGCCTCCAGTGATGAAGCTCCCACAACTTCCAAAGGCAATTTCTGTTCCATTGGTTGATTGTTCTCACTGTCAGAAAATTCCTCTTTATTTCTAGGTTGAATCTCTCTCCTTGGTCACTTTCCATCCATTATTCCTTGTCTGGCCTTCGGATGCTTTGGAAAATATCTTGAGCCCCTCCTCTCTGTGGCAGCCCCTCAAATATTGGAACAGAAATTGCCTTTGGAAGTTGTGGGAGCTTCATCACTGGAGGCTTTCAAGAAGAGATTGGACTGCCATCTGTCAGAAAACATGTA